CTTACGTTCTGAGGACACCTCTTCCTGCAGGTGCTCAAGATCTTCGGTTCCATCTGCCTCACATCACTCACCGGCACTGCATCTCAGGACGAGCATAGCGGTCCACCGGCAGTCCTGCCTGCATTACCGCTATAGTGTGCTCACACTCTCCTCCTTCCCTCCCTCTCTCTCTGTCTCTCTCCAGTTTCTAGAAAAATACATTCCCGGGATGTTGGAATTCCATTAATATCTACCTCATCCATTATTGGCATAATCTATATTTCAAAAAAATAATTTATTGTTCCTCTGAAGGAAGTTCAATATTTGAAATCAGTTATCTCACAATGAATACAATAAAAACCTGAAGCTAATTTAACCTTGCCATTACCTGCAGTCTGGCCCAGCTCATTAAGAAGCTTCTTTCAGATTAAAGCCGAAGTTCACGCTAATTGAATGGGTTTCATTCCAGGGTTCCCCGGCTGTGGCGTTCCCTTACTGTTCAATTTCCTGTGGTGTGGACATGGATCCCAGCCCAGTTCCTACAAACATTTCATTCACACAAGGACAAACCAGAGGGCTCCCCTCCCTTGGTGTCTGGTGAATTGCAGTGACAGTGAAAGCTGCTTAGAGCTGGTCTGGAGAGCAGTGGCTTCCCTGCCCTACCATGGGAGAACCAGGGAAGTATGAGAAGAGGTACCCCAAAGGCTCTCCATGGGCTCTCTCTAGAAAGCGAAAAATGCAAACTCTGTGCTGAGGGCCGCTTGAGCCGTGATCTACTGGGGACTGTGTTAGGGGCCAGGCAAACCTCCTGCAGGGACAGCTTCCCAGGACACCTGGGGGCTGACTCTGCAGTGCACAAGCTGGCTGGGAGGGAGGTCAGGGCTGTATTGCCATGGGCAGGGCCAGCTGTGGAAAATGGGGGGCATCTGTTTGCCAGGTGGCAGCACCTAAGAGGGTGACTCTCCAGGATTTCCTGGGACACTGAGGTATCTTGGGGACTCCCCAGGAAGCTCTGCCAACTGCCCCCAATGTCTGTGGTGACAGGGATGTTTGAGGGCAAGCCTGCAAGACTCTGCTGACCTCTCCTCTATTTCCTTGGCTGGTCTCAGGTGGCTCTGGGGGGGTACAACCCCTGCTTCCACCATACTTCCTGGGACAGGCTTCTTCCCTCCGGGCACTCTTACAGTTCTCTGGTGCATTTCTGCTCACATCCTGTGACCAGCACTTGTCTATGGAAGTGGGTTCTGGAGTGGGCACGTAGTCTGCAGCCTCAGGAGGGTACTGGTGCTGAGATGACAACTAGCCCTCCAGGTGACGATCCATTAAGGGACAGTTTGTCTCATAATGGGCAACATCTTAAATTTAATAAAATAGAGACTCTCTGTTTAATAGAATCACTATTTAAGCTGAAATCCATGTAATTAAAAGGAAGACAGTCACTGCCCAACTGGACAGCCATTCCAAGTTTTCTAAGTAGAAATCAACCATAAAAAGTTGTGATTAAAATTAATTCCTTCTAGATACTTACTTTTGCGCGCCCACGGCTGCTGGCCAATGTCCACCCCTCCTTGCTAAGTGGACAATGAGATGGGGTTGGAGAGAGATTGCTGCTGTATTAACACCCAGTGTAAACTTTGACCCTGATGGAATCAGAGGATCCACAAAGAAGAAGCAGTTTTGCTATGAAATGTGATCATTTATCAGAGAATCCAGGGTCATACCACCTGCTTTGGAGTGATGAAATCTGAAATTTTAGTTTTCTTTTCCAGAATCAAGGAGAAAAGGAAGGAAAGGAAGCCATTGTCCCAAAGTGAAGCCCTACTGGAGGCCTTGGTGTTCAGGAAGGGTCACAGGGTTTTGGCAGAGCAGCTCAATGTTGAGGGAGTAGTGTGAGTACTAAGGATGGCTTGCTCTGTCTTCTGCTCCTATCAAAATGTCTGAGATGGGGTGGCTTATAAAGAAGAGATGTTTACTTAACTTGTGGCCTGGAGGGTGGGATGTTGGAGTGCATGGATCTTGCACCCAAGGGCCATCTTGCTATACCCTAACCTGGCAGAGGCATTGCTTGGTGAGCCAGAGCCATCAGCCTGGTGCCTTCAGAGCTGGGGTTGGTAGGGATGATGCAGACTAGAACAGCCAGGGGGTTCCTGCCTGCATGCCCTCCATGCTGATGTCTCTTTCTCCTCTCTGGGCTCTCAGTGGACATTCAGAGTCACCTCCAGTGTACTTCTCTCTCTGCAGCCAGCTTGAGCCCAGGGCCTTCTGAGGATGCCGAAGTGCTGGACAAAACCTCCTTCCAACTCCCCGTTGCAACCCAGTGGTGTGGCACATTTCCCAAGGCTGCTCTGGAACAGAACAGAAGCTTTCCCTACGGGAGAAGAAGCATCAGCCCTGCCAGCATGGAGCCCTGGGCCCCTCTGGGATCTGAGACTGGTGGGCTGAGGGAGGGAGAGAGGGAGGCAGCTTCTACTAAGCCAGGCATCCTGGGGGACAGAGTATGCTCCAGGGGACTCGGCACAGGAGACTGCTGGCCCTGATGAGGTGGAAGAACTTGGTGACAAGGTGCCCTGCCAGCTCTGGCAGAGGCAAGCCTTGCCTGTGAAACAAGGAACATGTGGGAACAGTTTGATCAAGTTAACAGTTCTGAGTAATCATCGTAGTGCCTGTTTAATCTGCAATAGGTACTCTTGTTCTGCAGGACACAAGGCCTGTGCTGCTTGTTTCTCGGGGAAACTGGGAGGTTGTCATTTGGAGGCCTCATTCCAAGGAAGCCCCTGACCTTCCCGCAGAGACAGCCTCTCGTGTCTTCATTCACCTCTCTTCCAGGGTTTGCTGGCCCGAGCCCCGCCTGAGGGAAAGCCATGGATCTTCTCCGGGGCTGGCTGGGCTGTGTCACCAGGAAAAGGGCACAGCGGCTGAGCAGAGAGCAGCTCCCTCTGCCCTTCCCCAAAGGCTCAGAGGCCCAGCAATGACAAGTGTCTCCAAGCTGCACCCTACAGACTTTCCTGTTCTTCCTCGGTGATGGGTGGCGTCTCCTCTTCTCTGCCTCCTCTCCTCCTCTTCCCCGGATCCATTCTTGCTTTCTTCCTGTGGCCCCATTTTTTCAAAGGCCATGCCCCTGTGCTTTTCCTGTCCCTACCCGGGGGGGAACTGCCATCCTGCTGGTCACACAAGGACAGCCACAGTGGTGGATGCACACATTCCCACCATGGGCAGTGACGGCACCCATCTGTGTGGGACTCAGCTGCTGGCACAGCTGGCACTGGAGCTGAGAACAGCCAGGGAACCCCTGCCACCAGCTAGCTGGGACTGGCTCCTTCCCTGGGGGTCTGGGGTGTCCCCTCCCTGCAGGTCACCAGAGGGGGTTGCTTTTCACAGCCCAGTAATAAAGGTGCAATGGGGGCTGTGTTATGCGCTGACAGCTGGTCCGCCCACCTCGCCTCAGGGCCCGAGCCACCCTTCAGACTGCAGGACCGCTGGCCTCTCCTCAGTCCCTGGCTTGCCCCGTGGATGAGGATGTGGACTTGCGGCTCTGCTCCTGCTGACACTGCAGTACTCATGAATAATTTGTTTCAGACTAAACCTCTGGATAATTTGCAGGCCGCCTTCACTCTCGAGAGCGCTCTGAGCTGTGGCTGTCATCTGTGAGATGTTTGGTTTTTATAAATGAACTGCATTATAAATCAACAGACCTGACTCTGGAGTACACCTGGTAATTGATGGGAAGTGGGGATGGGGCAGGATATTTCCATAAGCTGGGGAGCCCTGTGACGGTTTGGATGTGATGCCCCCAGCCTCCTGTGTGCGGGAGGAGGCGGGGTCTGGGTGTTGTGCTCTGCAGTGGACTCACCTAGCTGAACTCACAGCTGACAGGGCCTGGCAGGAGGGCGTCACTGGCTGTGACCTGTAAGGGGGAGCCTGTGTTCTATTCTCCTCCCAGGCTCCTCCCTGCTTCCTGCCCGCCATGAGTGAGCACTGCTCCTCCCCCAGTTCCCCCTGCCATGCTGCTCCTGCCATGGCCTGAAACTGTGAGCTCAAATGCACCCTCCCCTCTGAAGGCACAGGGCCTGGGTATCTCGTCCCAGTAACAGGAAACAGCCAAGACAGGTGTGGCACAGCGGTGGCAGGAGCCAGGGCTGCACTCATGTTTGCCCTGCACACGTTTTGTGTGCAGTGGGTACCCGGGGCCACGTGCAGGTGATTCCTGAGTTGGTGTAAATCACATGAACATGAGGGCGCACCACTCTGCAGGGGGGACACTGGGCCGGCACTGTCCTTTCAGGCTGAGTGACAGTCCCCACGCTGGGCTTTTCCCAGTTGTCCCTGGATTCCCCTCCCCAACATGCCCTGGGGCAGAAGTTCATAAACAGCTCGATTGTCTTGTGTAGGGCTTGGCTGCTGGGGAGAAGGCAGAGAACCGGAGGGTGCTGTCTGCTGTCGGAGGGGCCCCTGCTCTGTCACTGCATGGCCTTCCTGAGGTTGGCTTGTCCTCCGGGTTTCACTTCCAGGAAGATGCCAGGCAGGCTGGTTTTAGGGAGACACAGGGCTTTGGGTCCCTGGCCTCAGATCTGGCTGGGTTCCTATGCCCTGCTCCCTCTAATAGGCCCTCAGCTGGCCTAGGATGTCCCTTTGTACTGTGACATCTGTGCTGGCCCAGAACAGTGTGCTGTCAGCCCAGATGCTGCCTGGACACACCCCTGTGTGCATTCCAGACACACCCTTGTATGGACATTGGACACGCCCCCTATGCTGACATATGGTCTTTTTTTCCCCCAGTACTGGGGATTGAACCCAGGGCCTTTGCACTGAGCTACATCTCCAGTTTATTTTTATATTTTTCATTTTGAGAACGTTACTTGGTTGTCCAGGCTGCTCTTGAACTTTTGGTCCTCCTGTCTCAGCCTCCCAGGGTGTTGGGATGAAAGGTGTGCGCCCCTCTGTCCCTTGTGTGCATCTGTCCCTCTTCCCACTCATCCTCTCCAGAGTCAGCCGATCACACGTTCAGTCTGCAGGCGCAGGTGGCTGAAGGAGAGAGCCAGAGGAAAGTCTTGGATTTGCCAGATGTTGGGGCCACAAAGAGGACCTGGGTTTGAAATAGGAGCCATCAGGGTGGCTTCTCCACTGGTCTGGCATTACACGTGGGTCTCAGCCTTAGCATGACAGTCAGGACCCCCCAGAGAGGGTGCCCTGGATGGGGCACAGTGGGCAGACTCTGACAAGGTGCTAGGTACCAAGGGGAGCTGGGCAGATGCTCTCCTGCCTGCAGCCAGGTTTTCTGGGCACAAGGCCAAAGGATGGCCCGCAGGGCACCCCGGAACCTGGATGCCATGCTGGGTGGGGGTGGCCCGGGACCCAGTGGCCCCTGCATGTTTGGAAGCCACCCTTCCCTAACCCACAGTGATAGGAAGGGCGGGGCTGCTGCCAGGCCCTGTGCCAACCACTGCGGTTGTCCGGGACTCTGGCCCAGATGACCAAGAGTGTGGTGGTCACACACAGGAAAGCGGCCATGAAGAAGATGGAGAGCACACCATTCACAGGGCATAGGCAGTACCTGAGACCACGATGCTAAGGGAAGTAAGTCAGGCGCAGAAAGTAAGTATGGCTCGGCTCCTCTTGTACCAGAACCTAAGACAAATAAAGGAGAGTTGAATGGAGGGGAGAGGGTAGGAAAACTGAAGGCAGAGGGGTGGAGATGCAGGGCAGGAAGGGGCCGAGGATGCAGGAGTTCTGTGCACCGGTGCAGGGAACAAGCAGAGCTGCGGTGCTGCGAGCAGACACTGGGAGGACGGGCGACCGCCTCACGCACGCACACTCCTGCCTTCCCACAGCCCCTCCAGGGTCGCCCACGGGCGCCTGGGTCCTGGGACCAAGGTTTGGGCTCAGGATTATTGGCCAGTACTTTGGGAAATGGCGGCTCGAAAGGCTGGAAGGGATGCGGAATGGCAGCTTGGCCCAGCTCCAGACAGAGGTGGTGGTCTTGTCCCTCCGTGCTGGTGGACGGGCACCACAGCTCCGGGAACCGCGTCCTGAGGGCCATGCTGGGCCTGCGCTGGGTCAAATCGAGGTCTCGAAAGCAGAATCCGGCTCTTTTGGGACAAAGCAGCAGCTGCTGCTACGTCACACACAGGGCGACGGCCACAGCTCGGCCTGCAGATCTCCACAGATCGCCTGCGGTGAGAGGGAGGCTGCGCTTCTGTCCCTTGCACATCAGGTTTGTCATGAAAAGCAGTGCTGTGCTCAGTCCTCTCAGCAGCTTCCATGCGCCTCGTCTATAACATGCGAGCAAGACCCACATTAACTAAAACCTCATTCATTGCTCGTCATTTACACAGTAGGGAGTTATTTTTCTCACAAAACCGAAGTCCTGATGTAACTTGGTTTTTAGTCCTAGGCTGATCCCTTAGCCAATCACTGCACTTGTCCCGAATCCTAAACCGATCTCTGAGCCAATCGCTGTGCTTGGCCCCGGTCCTAGGCTGAACTCTGAGCCAATCACTGCACTTGGCCCTAGTCCTAGACTGAGGCCTGAGCCAATCCCTGTCCTTGGAGTGTGTAGCTGGGGCTAGGAGGAGGGTCTTTCCTGCTGACCTGTGGAATAGGAAGTAACAGCTGGGATTCTGTTTCTGGTAGAAGGAGGGAGGTTGCTAGGGAAGTAATAACGATGCCAGGATTTCCCCTCTCCTGTTACAGGTGAGATCTAGACTGTCCACTGGAAGTCTCATTTGCTCAGATTTGGAGCCTTGGACCATGCTGTGCTTATCAGTGGATTCATCAATTTACGGGTTCACAGCTCAGATCTCTTAGGAGGTGGGGCCTGGCTGGAAGAGGTTCATGGGGCCCTCTGTAGGGTGTGTCTCCCAGGTCCTCCGTGTCGCTGTCCCTTGGCTGGCATGAAGGCATGGCTTTCCTCTGCCACGGCCTTCCACTGTGCCATGCCCTTTCACTGGGCCTTCCTGCCTTGGAGCCAGCCAACCATAGACTGAACCCTCCTAATGCACCAGCTAAATGTCATCTCTCCTCCTGTAAGCAGTGTGGGTGTTGTTCCAGCAAGAGTAGCGCTGAGCAGCACATCTCCTGTGCTCTTGGAATCCAGTGACCAAGGAGCGAATGGCCAGGGGACCTAGTACAGTCCAGCCTGTTCCTAAATTAGCCCAGACCCACCCATGATGTCCTCTAGAGATCCCTCTGTTTTACAGTCACATATTAATAATAACACTGTGATCTCTATCAAATCATCTCCAAGGCTCCACCACAGTTCTCAGGATGGTGTGCGTCTGCCTTCTGTTCAGATGGGGTCGGATGCTCCTCCTTTGCCTGCATGGCCAGGCTCCTGAGCGTCCTCTCTATAAGGTCTCAGCCCTATCTGACCCCTGCCCTGCTCTACCTGCCCCTCATTGGCGGAGATCCCTTCTGCATCCGCTCAGCACAAGCCCTATTCCCAATGTCCTGCCGAGCTGCTTCCCTCGGTCCTGGCACCCACACCACCGCTTGTACCAAGAGCCTGTCACCCAGCTTAGCCAGCAGTCCCTGCCCAGTGCCACTGGCTTCCTCTCACCCTCTCCTCCTCCGAGCTCTGCATGTCCCTTGAGTCTCTGGCTGTCCTGGGTAAACATAACTTCTCTTGCCTCGAGTGTCACCTCCCTCGCTCTTCTGTCCAGGGTCAGGGTAATTCCTCCCTTCAACGCTGGCCAGAGTCTGAAGTCAGCATGTCTAATGCCACTAGGGGAACACGGGGCCTTGTGCTGGCATGGACTCTTCTGGACCTGGACAAAGCTGGCACCAGCAGGAGGGGAGCTCTGAGGTCATGTGCCTGGAGTGTCCAGGGGTGATCTACATGGTTGGCGTGGGTCTTGGAGCTTGGGAAAACTCCCACTGGGTCTGGCTTCCCTAACCACCATGCGATCAGAGTTGGCGGCTTCTGTTACAGCCTCTGCATGCCCTCACCTTCAGGTGAAAGAAAGGCAGCCCTACCTCGTGGCCAGGGCCCTGCACAGGTCTCATGACATCGCATTGGCTCTGCTTGTCTGTTAGCATGATGGCTGCTGTGGGCTGAGGGGAATGTGACACTGTGACAGGCCAGGCCTGATGGGGTGTCCCGAGGACCGGATGGAGACCTGGACTCACACAACCCAGGGTGGCAGGCAGAAGGAATGGTGTGTACACCACTGTGCTGGACACAGCACACAGAAAAACAACTGCCCCTCACCACACAAGTGGTTGTGCTTACCTGGACACTCCATGCCTGCTCCATAGAAGGGACGATTGAGCAGTGAAAACCCCACAACACCAGCCTTTGATGGACGTCTGCAGAACCAGCTCCAAGCTTTCAAGTTCCCAGTGGGCTGAGAGAGGCAGGATGCAGGGCTAAGTGAGGAGCTGGCCACTTAGTCCGGCTCCCTACCCTGGCCTTCTCTGCTGTGGGATCCAGGGAGGGACCCAAGTACACAGTCCTCCAGTTTCCTTATCATCAAAGGAATAAGGTCCCTGAGATCTTGTAGAGTTGCATGAATCACATAAAATGTCAAATGAGCAGAGCTTGCCTCACACTTAAGTGCTTATGGTTACTTACTGTGTGTGAGAGCCAGAAAGTTTTAAAAAGTGTCTTTCCCTTTATCTTTATCCCAAGGGCTGGGAACATAGCTGTGACTGATCATTGAGATCTGGCAACTCAACCTGAGGAAGAAATGCCTAGCAGATTATGAAGTTCCAGGGTCTGTGGATGATTGACATGTGTGCCAGCAAAGTGAGGAGGAAGACCCACCCTGGATATGGGTGGCATCAACCAATAGGCTTCTAGCCTGGGTGGAATAAAAAGGGAAAGAAGAATGAAGTGTCCTTTCTTCCCAGGAGCACTGCTCTTCACCACTGCCTTTGGACACTGGCCTTCCAGCACAGCCTTCAGCCCTCCAGTGCATGCTTTCGCTTTCCAACACAGATCCTGCACTGAGCTCTAGGCCTTCTACCTCCAGCTGCTACTGGGTCTTCCAGGTGTCCGGCACAGACCATCTTTTGGGTTTTCACCTCTGATCCGGCAGCGCCATGGGAATCCTTCCTCTCCCGAACCTATCAGCTACCTCATGAGCCCTTGTATGATGCAGCATGTGCATTTTGTGTTGAATCTGGCCCTCTAGTGAGAGAACCCTAACTGTACAGTAGCTCAGGAGCAGAACTCTTTCTAGGCCCTGGCTTCAACCCCGCCATACCACAAAAAAGGAATATATGAAGTGTTATTTAAATAACATAAAATGATATTCTCGATTAAATGCCACCATACAAGGATATTTCAGGGATGAGCGAACGCATTATACAGGCGCTAGTTTGATGGACTTGGGAAGGACAAGTAAACTGTACCTGAATGTTGATAGCTCCAACATGGCTTATCCGGAATTACAGACCAAACGTGCAAGTGTGCTTTAGCATGCAGAGTGCAGCTGACCAAACCTTGTTGGGAAACTAACCTGACAGTAAGGAAACCAAGTTGACCATGGGGTCACCAAAGGAACGCATCAACAGTGGGAAACCACAGCACTGGGGGACAGCAGAGGCGGCCTACCCCCGAGGGCTCTGTCCCTAAAACCAGAGGCTATGTGACTATCTGCTTCCCTCTTTTACTTACTGATTTGCAAACGCTCCTTATTCCTTAAAAATATTAATCCTTTGTCATAGGCAAATATTTTTCCAGGTTTTCATCTGCATTGTATGTGTGTCTATATGTCTCTGTGTCAACATTCAGAAATAATTAGTTTTCTTTCTGTCTAACCTGTCAATATTTTTTTTAATGATTTCTCTCTTTGGGTCCTATTCAAAAAGTCCATTTCCATCAAATACCTTTATCAAATGTAACTACTTTCTTTTGTAACCACTTATTACATTTATTTCTTTTCCTGAAGCACAGCTGCTGAGGCGGGACCCAGAAGTGTTCTGGAAAAGTCAAACTACATTAAGATTTAATGGCTTTGTTATTTATAAAAGTTGTGATTGGAAGGTAATGGGGACAGATTTCTAATAAGTGTCTCAGAAATGAACTATTGAGTCTAATGACGGCTGTCCCTTTCAGAGCCGTCATTGTGAGGCCTCAGTAATAATGCCAACGACGTCACCAAATGTTAAAAATAAAAGTGGGGCAGCTTTTTTTCTCAATGGTGCTCAGAAAGGTCACTTCAAAAACTCTTCTTTTCACCTTAATTTTTTCCATTTGAAGTTTACCCCTAAACTTTGCCCTCCCCAGTCATGTTGGATCTAATTAAAATAGAAACTCTTCCTTGCAGGGCTGGGGCTCAGCTCCAGTCTTCCCTCTGCAACACAAAAGGGTGACAGTGAGAGTCAGCCTCAGCCCCCTGGCCTGGGAGGAGTCTGCTGTGGGGCTGATGTCGCCAACTGAAGGACATGGCAGGAGGAGAGACCCTGCACTCTTCCTGGGGACCTGAGTTGGCCTCTCTGATTCCCAGGGAGCGGAGGCAGAGGGAGGTTAGAAAGGTGGCCACCACCAATACAATCAAATAATAATGTGTGTGGAGGTGTTCGGGGGAGAGGACCCTCTACTGTGGTAGCGCAAACCAGTACGGCCACTGTGGAAATTGGTGTACAGATTCCTCAAAAGACTGAAACTAGAAATTCCACTTGCCCCAGCTCTTCCCTTCTGGGTATTTTCCCAAAAGAGTGAAAGCCATCGTGTTACAGTGATCCATTCACATCTGTTTATAGCAGCCTAATTCATAAAAGTTAAATCTTAGACCTCACCTATGTGCTCATCAACAGATGAATGGGTAAAGAAAATGTTTTGTTTCCACACAGCAGAGTGCTGCTCTTCCACCAAGGAGGACGAGCTGCAGTCATCTGTAGGAAAATGGGTTCAGCTGGAGACCACAATGTTAGGTGAAATAAATCAGATGCCCAAGCTTAAATATTGCATGGTTTCTCTTCTGTGAGAAACCAAAACGTAAGAAAAGGACAAAAGGAAAGATGGATGACAGGAAGTAGGGAGAGCTCTT